AAAACTGCGTTTGATGGGATTATTAAATTGGCTGCTGTCAAGTCTGTTTAACGGCATGGTCTCTATTTTTCAGCAGCTAATGTATACGGAGAGGGCTGCCAGACTTTTCACACTAAACTTCCACAATGATTAGATAAATATTTGAAACAGAATTTCACTACATTTTCTCAAAACATCTAATGTATTTTGGATGATATGATGCAGTCATTTCTAGTTCTTGTAAGTGATGCATGCAACTATTTGCAGCTTCTTTAGGACATTTTGCTAACAGAATCTATGATGAGTATCATGGAAAAGGTAAAAAAAATAAATAAATCTCTGAATTTACGCATTGCCTGTTCAGATTCATGGAAGAAGGGTGAGATGAACAGTCATAAGCTGTGCATTTATTTAAACTGTGCAAAAACAAATGAGCAAATAAAACAACGAATAAATGAGCTTTGCATCAACTGGTGTTATGTTGCGTTTACACTGACATTTGCAGGCAGTTGGTGCATTCCTGTTACTGTCTTTCTTTATATAGATATACATGTTTGCACATGTACTACACATGTTGACATTCCACAGTCTTTCTACCATATTTAATGAATCTTTGTGGCCCATTTAGGCTTTCTGGCCAGTCATAAATGCACAGTGAAAAGGCACAGAGTAATGCAGAAAGCACAACGCCTCGTGCTTTTCTTCTACGCATTTAAAGATTAAAAACATACAGTTCAAATCGGACCAACAAAGGACAACTCCTCTATGTGGAGATCATTTCCATTCAAGTAGACAGACTTTTAAATGTATGGAATTGATGATAACATAAGTTTCAAAGGTCAAATTTCAAAATAAATCTTCTATTTTGGGTTTATATATTTCTTTTTCCAACTCCAGAGGAGTCAGTGCCTCACCAGTCATGAAAACTGCAAGAGCCAAAAGACCTACAGCTGCAAAACAGGCCCAAATCATCAACCCTCGTCCAACATGCTCGACAGTTGGTGTGAGATGTTGGTGTGAGATGGTGATGAACTGTTCCACATCAGGCCAAACCTCTTCACTGCCTTTGCAGCCTTCCCAGAAAATCTGTGAAAACCTCCTTTACCTCCTCCCAGTGCCCCTATTGTCATCTACAGAAATACACAGCTTGGTCAGAAACACCCAATCAGACACAGGAGGAAGGTCAGCTCTAACAAATATGCAAAAATTGTATTACTTAAAACTTACACACTTCCAATTTAAGGTTAGAATGTAAGATAAAAATGTTACAATCTGATAAGTTTCAAATCATTTTAATTAACTCCTAATTAGTAAAACGTTGGATCTTAAAGATGTTGTATTCTTTTTAGCATGAATGAAATTTTAATGTATAGTGCTGATTTCCAGAATAACCTGAAGCAATGAAATTATTTTACAATGAAATATTTAATCTCATTTTGTAGTAGCAAAGTACATTTAATGCTTATAGTAATTTAAATTCAAAACATTGCTGAAGTATAAAATTAGCATTTTATTTCATGAAATATGTATTTTTTTCCAGATTTGTTGATGTGTGAGTGTTGAATCTCTAACCAGATGTGATATCTGATAATATTCAAATTGTGCATAAAACTGATTTCAGTTTGCTGAAACAATTTGGACACAGACAGAGAATCACTGAAAACATTGAGGTTATTGACCATGAACTGCATCATTCTGGTTAAGAGTCTCTGCTGATGTTATTTTTATTTGCGCAGTCAACTATTTATCACAAATGCCTCTAGAGAGTGGGATATGAGGAATAACATATTTATAAACATAAACGTCTGAATATCTAAAAAATTAACTGAAAGCTGTTGTCTCCTGGGTTATGCAGCTAATTATTAATGCTGTCAATCTATGTTGCTTGAATGGTTGGATGGAGCGGATCGGATAAAGTATTTTTTTAATACAGCAGCAGTGAGACATAATGGTGATTATTATGAAAACTCCTACGGAGAGTAAATCATTAGCAGATGTATCATAATAGAGTTTAAATAAGTTCTCCTGTTGTTTTGGTCTTATTTGGGAATAAAATCTGTCAGTTTCTAAAAGCACCTACAACTAATTATAGAAACTGAGGGTCACCTGGATCAATTTACCTTTTTAAATCATATGTATTATTGAAATGAGCCTAAAACAGCCGTGCTTTTTCCCTTCTACTGATTAAAATAGACTTCTTGGAGTCAGGTTCTGTTTGATAACAATAACGACTTTATCTTCATCTAAATCTATGTAAAAATAGTAAAGTCCTGAATGGATTAGTATTGCATTGGGGGCAAAAAGATCACAAAGGTTTATGCTGGTAACCTTACAAAATGTACTTTACACTATAATGCTTCAAATCTAACTTGTCTTATTTGTATTCGTATCTGCATCATGCTGTAAACCACAGGGTTTCATTCTTATTCATCATGCAGTGGAAGACGAATATGAATGTATGGAATCAGAAGCCAGTTTTATGCCCTGAGCACCATAAGTGCTGCATCAGGTGTTAGGAAAATGCAAAGGAAAAACACATCACAGTACCTAACAACATTGCTTGACTGACAGGTAATCATATTTCATTTAGAATGGCAAAACTGCCGAAGTGATGGAAAAATAATAATATGAATCTTGTACAGATAATCACCAACACAAGTAAAGAAATTCATATGCCTAGTACATGTGGGCTGCAGAAAAGCCATTCCAGGAGAACTGGAGGCCATATTTAAGATTTAAAAGCTTGAGATATGGAGCTTCACTTTTCTGCCACCTCTTTTCTTTTTTACCCTGAAGCAACTTGGTCACTTCGATAGAAGGGGAATGAAGTGGAAACACAATTACTACAACCTCTGATTCTCTACAGAGCTTTGTCTGCTTAAAGGAGAGGGAGACATGCGAAAGGGACAAATCAGATTAAAAGTGCTGAAAGACTAAGAAGATGCATGCTGTAAAAAACAGTGCAGTAGCTTTGAACCCTCTGGGAAAGGAGTGGTGTAAGCAAAGTTTTGGGGTGAATGAACTTAACTGATGCACTGGTGTCTGTGGAGACACAAACACGGTGCATTTACAGATTTACAGGCCTGAAGCAAAGAGGCAGGAACAAACACACAACGGCCATCTGCAACATAAAAACACTTTTTACTGCAGTCTCTGTTTTATCTCAGCTGAAAGTCATTTAGATGTACTCTTGCAGCTTTCAAAAAAAAATATTTTTAAAGTTGTGGTATGTAACTTTTATAAAAAAAAAATAAAATAAAAAAAAAGTATGAGACAGAAAAACTGTGAAAAACAAATTGAGCTGCTCTGCCTTCTTCCAGAGCTGACTACAAATAATCAATCAGAGCCAGGAAGGGGGTCTTAGTGCTGTCAATCATGCCCGTGCATGTGCCGCTCACCCCTTGCTTTCTGCTCTGATACAACTTCTCCCCATCAGTTAAGCCTGTGGCGAATGCTATAGCATGATCACCGATGACAGTGGTTTAACGGTTTTCCTGTAACTGCAACTTACACATTTAGCAGCATGTTCACCAGGATGACTGACAGCCCTAAAACGCTCCTCCAGGCTCTGATTGGTTATTTCTTGTCAGGCGTCATGCTAGTTTTAACAAATCATAGTCTTAGCAAATGCAGAAAAAACTAAAAGTTATACTGCAGCTTTAACGCAATGCAGACATTTTACATAAGCCCTGCTTTATACGTTTATCAACTTCAATATTTCATTGAACATTGCATTTCACTTTATGTTTCTTGCCACTTCAATTTAAGGTTGTTGTGCTAAATGAGCCTCCAAAGCAAAGATTTTAAAAGGATGACCTCAATATTTTACCTGCTTTTCATATGAACATCTTAGATTTCTACATCCTACATATTTGGTGTAAATAAATAAAACTTTGGTTTAAAACATCTCTGCATCTGTCCTCTTTAATCCAGTGCCAATATTTCCATCACAAAACCCTTAGCATAATTAACAAAACAATGTGGATTAGGGCAAAAAAAGCTAATCACAGAAGCTGATGGGCAATTCTGTTTCCACTGTGAAATATTAAGAAGTAAATATGAAGAACGAAACCCCCGAGGGAAGCACAAGAGGAGAAGCAGAAGGAGAGAAAGGGAGGCCAGCAGGAGGATTTATCTCTCCTCACAGATGCAAAGAGTCTTCCCAGGTCTCCCAGTCAGCAGCAGGGACAGTTTACAAGCCGCAGAATGGATTGATTGCCGATAGATCCATGTCCCTGTGTAGCTGCCAACTCTGAGCTAATTAAAGAACACTTCTCTGGAGAAACACGGAGCGCCAACCCAGTACATTTTATTTACTCTTGAGAAAGTGTGCTCCTGTACATCCCTTTTAGGGAAAAATGTTGCCAGCAATCCCAGAAAGGTAGCTGCTTTGCTTTTTTATATATAAAAGGGCTTAAAATCCTCAAAGATACATTTTGCAGAAAACTGACAATTCTGTTGTTAGACAGGCTGAAATTATCTAAAAATGTGCATAAAGTGCTGAAATAGAAAAGAAAAACTCCTAACATTTATATAATGCAAAAGCTACATTTTAGAGCTGCATTTGTGTCTTATAGACAACACACCAAGATAACGCTGGTCTTTAATATTTTAGTCAGACTAAGAACATTGGAAGCTGATAAGAAAAGTAACACATTTCCAGGACCTAAGCTGTCAAATATCTAAAATGTGACAAATTAGTTAGATAAAATGAAACAAATGACACAAAAATACAACAGTCATCAAAAAACCTTCTCAATCTTCTTTCTTGTACAAGCTTGTGTACTCAGCCCCATTCTAGTGTATGTCCCTGACTGAGTAGCCAAATGTGCAAACTTATGTTTACAGTTGCAGAAATCACAGTCTGCATTCAGCAAAACAGTCAGAGTTTAATAGTTAGCAAATTACTTTGTGTATATTTGGCTATAAAACAAAAAAGAAAGTTGGATGCACTAAAATCTTGCCCTCTGATTGACAACAAATTCAAACGTGTAGAACTCAGCAGCATGCAGCAGACTTACCGGTGCAGGAGTATTCATCCACTCTGGTGAAACCCGGCAGGCAGTCACAGCGATAACTTCCAGGCAGGTTCACACACATCGTGTTGGACTGGCAGTAATGCATCTGTGTTGCACACTCATCGATATCTAGAAAAACAAAGAAGAAGTAGAGGGTTATTAACCAGACGACTTTATATCTTGGTAACAGACTACAACAGGTGGATGAGCTGCACTGAACTGCTGTGTCAGTGTTGGTTTAGTCACTTTACAGCAGAGTCTCAGGGCATTGCATTCTTTTGAGTTGCTTTTCATTGAACAACATACACAAGTCCCAAATATTGACCCTTTTGTCGATTGTCCTAAAGGGCAAAATAAAGATGATCCTCTCTCAGCCCAAGGTGTGTAATCATACAAACATGTACATATATTCTGCTGTTATCACAGATAAGATAATAGAAAGGAGCTAAAAATATGGGAATGACAGATGAAAGACAGCAATAAATGTTAAAATACACCAAAGAAAAGGTGTACAGTAAATAAAGAGCTAATGAGATGAGAACATTATAACTGAGCCAGAGAAATGCAAGGAGAGCATCATCTCCTTTGACACCCATAATGTGCAGGTAATATCGTGATAAATTACACCTTCACTCCATACACAATTCCTCCCTTCCTAATGTAGCTTGAAAGACATTGTATGAGCATTAAAACACGTGGCTCAGGAATGCATTAGCTGAGCTGGATGGCTGCTGATGAAATGGGACGCGAAACACACAAGGGAGGTTTTATGCAAACGGGTCTGGATTTCTATGTGTGTGCACATGTCGTCGCACAGTTTAGAGCATTTATGTGTGTAGCAGAAGACCAAATTCCTGAGGCTAACGGGCCTTTCTACCACTTAAGGGACTCTGCATGCCACACTTGAGGGAAGGAGAGTGAAGAGAGCTATTTCCATATCCGTTCCTTGGATAAATACATTTTAGCTTTGAGGTGTTCAGCTCAGGCTTCCCCTTTACAACAGGATGAATTTAGATCAACTATGTAATTGACTTATATGCAACACCCAAAGGTTTTTTTCCTTGGTAAATTTCATCCCTAGAAAGTGTACAGTGAGAGTGGTAAATTGCCGAGTTAAGAAGAGAGAGCATGTCTTTAGGTGTACAAAGCTTTGATGCCCTTCAGAATAAAAGGTCGCTACATCAAAAGCATGAAACTTATGAGAGTACTTTGACGCCACACAACAGTACCTGAATCCAATTTCCATCTTGTCTAGGAGCACTACTCTACCCTAAAAGCCACTCATTTGATTACCCTTTATTGGTGAAAGGCGCCAAAACGTTGTTCAAGGGTGATGGCAGCTGCCCCGCGACGCCGACTCACAGCCTCAATAATTCAAAGTCAAGAGCTCACCACTTTTGTCAGCTTTCATTATAAGTGAGAAAAGCATCGAGTGTCAGGCCGGAGGAATGATGAGGCTTTTTGATCTGTGTTGTTCCAAGGCTCTATGCCCATGTGTGTGACTGCATGTGTGTTTGTGTTTTTGCCCTCGGCAGCTTCCTCTAGGGGCATTGTTGCAGGTGAGGTCTGCTGACAGAACTGGAACTGTCATTTTGCACAGGGGGGGAATTCATTTTCTGGATTTGCCAGTGTCTCTCTGGCTGCCTTCCTCCCTCCTCACCACCCTCCAACCCAGACCTCCTCTTCCTCGCCACCCACCCCCCTCTGAGCACACTCTCTTCATCTCTCGGCTGCTTTATTCATGCTCTGATGTAGGTCAGGACTGGGTAGGGGGAACAGCTAAAAATAAGGCGGGATAGGACTCTATGCATGTGTATTTATGAGTAAGTGAGGGTGTGCACATGTTTCTATCAGCTCAACCGTCTCTGTGCGATATTGTCTGGCAAAACAGAAAAACAGAAAAAAAAAACACATTCTGAATGTCAAGTGTTTGGCTGCTGTAAGCCAGTAAAGGAGAAGAATCCTCATATTCCTTCATGCAAGAGTTTCCTATATGAGCAGGGCTCACCTTTTCATGTAGACGTCAAAAGGAACATTATTCTATGCAGAATGATTTCATCTCATTTTTTTGTGGACGCTGCTTTATTTTTAATTTAATGACTCCCAGTTTAGAGAAGGTGTGGTAGAAGGTAAACATTTCATATAGAGCTTTTTCTACATCTCCAACAGATTTTTTTCAAATGTAAAACAAAATGTAAAACAAAAAAATTGAGTTTTGTGATGGTGCGATTGAGTATAAATTTCATACAGAGTTATTTCCACTGAAGTAAATAAAGAAAGGGAAGGCAGTGAATTTCAATCACATTCCAAACAATTTTATTTTTCATGTTTGGTTTTTCTTCACTAAACCTAAGACTATGAAATTTGAAAAGACAGATTAGTGGAGATAAACCACTAATCCGGTTTATCCAGAGGTGCAGAAACATTTCAGCACTTCAGGGCATGACTTAGAAGTTTTATGCTCAAAGAAACATTGATTTTTGAGGAGATTTTGACTCGGTAGAATATTTTCAGAACTTTTAAGCCATCCTATCCTCAAGAAAAATTATGAAATTGATGATGGTTGACCTTACTAGTATTTTGCTGTATGCTGCAAGTACTGGTAACAACTCATAAAGTCCTTATGAACTGAAAACCATGAATCATCATACACAGAGAAGAAGAGGCTTCATATGCTTTAATATACAGTGCTTTATAAAAGAATGCACTATCTTTAAATACATTGTTGCATTACAAACACAATGCACTTAATCCAAATTTTAGGTTTTAAGCAGACACAATAGCATTTGTGACTTCACATAGCTTGATTTATTCATTTATTTATATTTTATATATATTTAATTGAGCTGCAGTCTTGCAACAAATTCTCAGACTTGTAGCTCTGACTGTATATTTGGGTTTTTTCTCATGCTGGAAGGTGAACCTCCGGACCCGTCTCGCATCTTTTGCAGCCACCAACAGTTTATCTTGCAGGATTGTTTTGTATTAAGCGCCATCTATCTTTCCATCAGTCCTGACCAGCTTCCCTCTTCCCGCTGAGGAAAAGCATTGTCACCACATGATACCAACATGTTTCACCAGGGGATGCTGTGTTCAAGGTCGTGAGCAATGTTAGTTAGCTTTGCAGGTCGGAGACAAAGTTTAACCAGATCCCCTTCTTCCACTGTTTGCTGTGTCTCCAGCATGGTAAGTGGTAAACTTTAAACAAGACTTCCTGTGGCACCACTACTGTTTCTCCTGAGAGCAGATTCTCTATCCTGAGCTATTGATCTCTGCATCTCCCCCAGAATTACAATAGCCCTCTCTGCTGCTCGTTTGATAAATACTTTCCTATTTATATGTGTGACCACATCATAGTTGATGGATTGATTTACTTATCTGAGATGCTCAAACCTTTGGGTACAGGGTTGCCAAATCTGATCGACAGTATCCAGCACAATGTGATCCCTGCCCAGCTCAAAACAACAACAACAAAAAAACAGCCCAAATCACAACCTCTGTTGAAAGTTATGTTAAAATTCATGCTAAAAACAATTGAATATATAAATGCATACAAGCATATATAATGTGTATATGTACCATTTCATAGCGAGACTGGATTAGCCCATGACTATTAATTATTGATTATGTCATGTTCAGCAGATAGATATATCAAAGTACGTGAACTATAAAACAAACATAAGGACATAGGATTTCATTAAAATGTATGAGATTTTTACTTTTCTGTCACAAAATTAGAATTATTTTCATCAAAACCGTCTGAAAACCAGCCAAATGTTGCGAAAAGCAGCCCAAATCGCCCAAAGCAATATTTTTCCATATCAGCATGTTGAAAAGAAGTCATATTGGGTGCAAATCAAAACTGTCTAGCCTTCCTTTTACCTTTCAGCAACTCTTCAGCCCTGACTTGTGTGGTGTGTTATTTGATATTTTAGTAATTCACTGATTTCTGAAAGAAATTATTGCACTGTATTTTATTTAAGACTATCAAGTATGTGACTCAGTGCAATACATCATCTTGGTCCAATTACATTTGCAATGTCAAAAAAGCTTTTTTTTTTTTTTTTTTTTACATGTATTTGTATTCAGATTTTAACAGAATTTAGATTTTTTTAAAGTGATGGGTTTTGATTGTGTTTTAATTTTGAAATAGCATTAAAATATATATTTTTTAATCACCTAAAGCATTACTTAAATACTTTTCATAACATGTTTCACAAATTGATTCAGCTCTCCTTTCTTTGTTTTTTTCATTGAGGGAAAACATTACAAAAGCTACAAAAATTAACATAGTACAGCCATTTTATCTTATAAATTATATATTAAAAAAATACATGACAAAAAGGCAAATCAATATGAAACTTTTAGGTTTTAAATTCAAAATTTTGAACTAATTAAAAACTAAAAAAAAAAAAAAAAAAAAACTACAACACCCATTGACAATAAGCTGAGTTGACAGTTTCATTCATAAAGTGGAAATAATTTTGTTTTCTGACACATGATGCTTTAATTATGATTTAATTATAATTTTGTAAAGAAAACATTTTCTATGTCAAGAACAAATTTTAGCACCACAATTATTTAAGTAAAAACAAGTTAACTCCAAATTCATGAGCCACAATATCACAAATTAATGTAAATAGCTTGAAGATACAATGTGTCTTCACAAAACATGACTCCATCTTTCTAAAGGAAGGATTCTTCAGCAGATCACCTTCACACATTACAGGCACATGCAGCAACAACAATTCCCTTTTTTGCCTCAACCTGTCAATATTCATCACATATTAGACATGGCCTAGCAATTACAATCCATGATAAATGAAGCATGCACAGAGCATTGCAGACCGGTGCAATACACAACATATTAAACATCCTGCGTAATCTGTTTCACTAAGTGTGAAGGGCTAATCATTGTTTTGTTTTGTTTTTACAGAGGAGGAATTATTGTTTCCCATCATACATATCTTTGCAATTATGTCTATAGGCTGGGGTAAATAATTGCACAGTCATTGCAATAAACTCTAAATATTGGAAACCAGAGCAATTATTTCCAACATAGATAAATAATATAGTCCAAAAAGCTTTAACAAGTTTATTGTTTTAACTAATAACAGTGGTGAAACCTT